AGATAATAGTAGCTCGAAGTTGAAGCACATCGATACAGAAACCTGCGAGAGGATCTGCTTTATGTCTACAGATATTGTTTAAATTTAAAACTTAATCAATTAAAAGATTTAAGGTTATTTGTTTTAATTGTGACATGCGTGACTGGTGATATAATCAAAATTAGTTTCGCTTCCAACCGGGATTTAATTCCTTGGGAGCTTAATTTTATTAATTTTACACCACCACAAAAAGCAAAACTATCGTCAGTCATGAACGGCCCGAAGGCGGCTACGGCGAAACGTGGGTGGCGACCAAAAGCGGCATTAACCACATTATGCAAATCGGTTTTATGTAATCAGTGAGTTCCTAACGCTAGCAGTCACATAACACAATGCCATATTTCATATTTACTACCAAAACCACAGGACCGTAAGAGGTCACTTAAAAAGAAAAATTCATAAACTTTAATATTGGATCTTAACTTTATATAAAAGTGAAAACTTTAATATGAAACAATGAAAAATTCTAATATAAAGTTTCCCTAGCAAAAAATAGTAGTGATAGTACAAAATTAATATTTCGTCATTTCAAATACATTCCTGTCCTCTGATGGTTTTATTGCTTGCATCATTTTATTTCGTTCCGTATAGCTTAGCATAAACATACCAGGGTAAATCTTCTTGTGGAGATACAAACCCTGGACAGACACTACCGCGCTGTATAAGTTTATTGCGCAGTCATCGCGTGTGCGGCTCGTATATCATGACTATCATAAGGATTCTCTTAGCAAAGCAGGACTAGCAAGAGAAACATGTTCTAGCTACACTATTCAGACCTACATTCAGCTTACATAACTTCATACAGGTTCATGTAGGAGTAATCCAAGGCAACAAAATCAACCAATAGTTAACTTAGTATTGATGAAATTTTTTATTTTCCTCAATTGTATCACAGTCAGATATATTCATAAATGCAAATCAATTCTATTAATTATTATCCGTCAATTGAAGGTGTCATCCTAATTATTCAACTAGACTTGTCAAATGATGGCTCAATGGCAGAAATGATCTAAACCCCTGTTAGACTTGCACGACTTGCTAGGATTTCAGAGCATTTTGGAATTAGGAGCTGATAACTGATGATGACCATGCATGGGAATACGCGGACAAGGCATGCCATCGCGTGGTCACGCTTTGGAACGCCTCAAATGTCCGTCGGAGCTAGCCGGGCTTCAATTCAATTTTACGGCGCGCGTCACGACGCCTAATAGGATTAGCTGCTGCTGCTGCTCATACTGGACATGCCTCCTGTGTTCTGCTGCAGGACACCGTGGCATTTACATTTCTATAGTTCCATGTGCCAGCATATAGTGCAGATCACAAATTACTATTGAGTTATTTCTATAGCTGCAATATTACGAAATCTGAGTGAGTACAAATATCATAGAAAATAGATAACTAAAAATACAGCTGGAAATATTTCTTTGAATTGGCAAAAAAATAAAAAATGTTTCCGGATGTGAACAACCCAAGCGAGAATTGAATACGTCGGGTGTTTCGGGCGTTCTGTGAGCGATAACGAACATTAAATAACCAAGCTACCCGCATCTATTCAGGAACTATCTCAATCCCTACTTACAGCTATTGATTTAGACTTAACATATACACAGAACTAGATATAGGTAGTTCCCTGACAATAACTAAGAATTGAACTGTGTTATATCTCTATAAAAACTGCTAACGAACCAAAATTACCGCGAAATCTTTTACAAAAATCTTCTACAAATCAAATATTTTTTTATCTAATTGGTTGATTGGTTGGCTTAACTTAATAATATCAAATGAACGTTTTTACATTTGGTATATACAAACACAGCCGAACGTGTTTTAATCGACCAACCATCGATTAGGATCCCAACGGTTCGTACACCGCCACAGCTGTATTCTGGCACCCTTCTAACCAGCTTTCGGGAATCGCTGGCCGCGGCGCCCACGCGAAATAAACCCGGAACAATCGGGGAAGCCGATGTAGGAATTGATAGCATCCGCCTCGTCACCTCGCCACCACCGGATACATCCGGACAGTTGAACAAAGCACTTCGTGTCGACGCTTTTAGAATCGGACAGACTAAAACCATCCGGTTGTTTTTAATTAGCTTTATTAGAAATACACTTGGAATTAAGTCTAGGTGAAAATATTTCGTGGAAATATTAAATTTATTAAATTCCTAGCTATACCTAGCCATAAATTATGAAACAAGCCGTTAGAAAACAGATGATAACAAATAGAGTGATCAATTTTGTGTTGCATGACTGGGTCATAATACGCGCATCACACATTACGAGTGCATAACATATAACAAAGTGTACAGTTAACAAGTTGAACGTGATTAATGAGAATAATTCGATGCGTTGGCCTAATTAATCAACGTTCGCGTTAGCCACGGTTTGAACTCTGCGAAGGCAATGTTTAGATTCGCGACGGCGGATCGATTTTGTTAAAGTTTCGCGTTCGTTTCGCCGGGCGTCAGAAAGTTTGCACTTTCCGCATTTGCGCAACGATCTGCAAAGGTTTATGAGCGAGTTTGATGGCATCTTCGTGCACCGTAATTGATTTTAATTGCTTCAGCTATTGTTCACCGATTGTACGGATTGTTGGAAATGTAAACGATCTTCACGACTAATTCGCGCGTACTAAGTGTTGTGCATTAATAAACGGCATACTTCCGTTAGCTATTTAATAGTCAATGAATATATCTCATTGATTTCCTAAATAGAAATAATTTTTTTACAGTTACATTTGAATTTTAGACTATGTAGTTACAATGAAGAATCGGAAGTCAGCGAAACGTTCCAACTTGGCTGAGCCCAGCTCAAAAAATCGGCCGAACAATTCAACATCTGCAAATGCAACTGAAAAATCATCCACATCTGCACCCTGTGACAATGACTTCGGAGAAGAAAGAAGCTTTTCAGAATGGTTGCGCCAAGAAGATGGCTTGGGCTCTATGAAACTTTTTGTGGTTGTCAATAGCATAGTCGTTTTCGGACTTATGGCCTGGCCTAACATGAAGCAGACTCTACTTATGATTTACGAATATTTTACCGACCTAGGAGACGACACTCCTATAGATTTTTAAGTTTTAAACACTAACATACTAAAATAATAATTAATAATAGTTTATTCTTAAAATCTTAAAATGTATGGAATATTAAAAGTCGGCTTGTTCATGACCGTGATGTGCTACTACTCGGTCTCAATCTGGCAGATGATCGACGGGTATTTTCAGGACCGCTTCAAGGAATATCTGCGCGACGAGTTCCAGGCAAATCGATATACGTCAGCGGCATATTTGAACAGCTTGCGTTCGATGGGCATCTCATCTATAGCTAGTCGAATACCACGAGGAGCAGATAATGTTTGCCGAGCGAAAACGCTCTTCGACATTTTAGAGAACTGGCGTCATGAGACGCACTTTAAATGGACATAGAATACATTCAACTTGCGATTACAATCTTGTAATCTTGATTGCCAAGTTTTTTATTCTTAGCAAACAATGAATAAACTTATAAAATAAAACAATGGAATTAAAGTCAAGTAGTAATTTAAGCGCGTTTAACACCTAATTAAGTACAAAATGTTGTTTGTAGGTTTGTGTTAAGTAGCGTGGAATAACTGTTTGAGTAATACTTTTTACTTATCAACAAACAAACAAACAAAAAAAATAGTTAACTAGATCGAGATAATTAATAATTAAAAACTCATTTAACTTAATGCTTATTATTTCGAAATATTCTGTAAGAAATTAATACTTTTTACGTTTTACGTATTGCTGGTTCTACTCGTTTGTAACATAAACCTTTGATTCTAAAGCAAACATTCGACATGTGCATACATTATAAACGTTGAGAGACAATGCATGATATGCTGATGCGCATGTAAACCAATATAGATGTAACTGGAGATATTTGCGCGAGATGCATTGTTATTGAGTCATCTTTATATTTAACTTGCAATTTGCATCCGACTGCAACGAATACAGAATGTAAACAGAATAAAAACAAAACGCAGGTGACAAAAACAAGTTGCCAACTTGGCCACTTAACACCTTGATACAAATATTATCAATGCATTAGAACTAGTTCAGTGTTAAGCAATATTCCATCGAATAAACATAATTATTAATTTTTGTTGGTAAAGTGAATAGTGTAATGAGTTAAGTTGTGCGTATTGCTATTGGATTTAACTTAATATAACTGAACTTCTGGTTTTATAGCAATGTAATAAAATTACTCATTAATTAATATTCCACTAAGAATTACAATACAATTTCCTAGTCAACGATTAAATTCTTTAGTTTAAAGGTTAAGTCCGTATTCACTTAACTTAAATAACTTGGCTTAAGTTCAACTGCAGTGTAAATAAAACACCCAAGTAAGTTATTGCTAATATGAATGCTATCAGACTGCTTATACGAGCATTTCACCTTCATTGTCATCCTAACCAAAAGTAAATCCATACTGAGTCTTATCAATAAAAATCATGACTTAAAACATATGAAGAACATCCAAACAAACTCACATTTCAATGTACAATGAAGAATTGCATAGTTATTCCATGTTGTCACTGATTACAATGTTACACTCCGTTATCACTTATTTGTTGAATTATTTATCACACATCACTGCACAAACACAGCCTCTGGATCGCATGCACCGCACTTGCAGTCAACTACCGAACTGCATTTAATCGTACAGTAGTTACTTTAACGTATCGGAGACATTACGAGAAGTAATGTAAAGTGACTTAAGTCACATTCTTGAGTTCATGGTGCGCGGGGCGCGATACCGATGAGACCGAGGAACCATGAGTGCAGCCGGTACAGCATTGTTGAATGTTGACAGGTACGGCAACTAGCGCATCGCGCTAAGGCACGCTAAGCAAGTTTACAATCATACCGAACCCAACCAAACACAACAACAACAACTATCTCACGTACCACGCTGAATGAACGTCGTTTTGTGATAGAAAGAGAAACAGCGTTGTGAAACTACAAACAGCTGCAAAAACCGTTGGCATTTGACTTCAGCATATTTACTTTCGCGTTAATACTTGCAACGACATCTGTAAGCATAAAGTGGAACTAGATGTGGACTTAAGTTGGCTTCAATTCTGAAGAGGAGTGCGACATCTACCATTTAAACGTTGAAGAATATTTTAAAAGATGAATGCGAATGTAAGTGAAATATGTTTAATTTAATTATATTTTAGAATTTTTGCAATGTTTAATGTATTTGATTGACATTATGTTTTGCTTGCGTCAAAAAATTAAATTACGCAGATATCCTATTTTATTTTCACGATGTTATCATCACTTAATGGAAATGATGCCGTCTAAACGCAAGAGCAATTTATCAATCAACTCGAGTCCAGTTGATGAACATATATACTTTTAGCTCGAGTACAAACTCATGCCTGAATATGTACTTGTGTTAAGCGTTTCAGTTTCGAGTTGGATGGCCTGGCAGTCGCTGCCGCCGAAATTATGCCGCTGGCCACGTTGAAACGAAGTTCGGTGCAATTGCAAAAAGCTGCGAAAGTTGTAAACGGTAATTTGTAAACATCAAAAACCTACAATAATTGAATAACACTAATGTAAGCGTGCAAAAATATATATTATGGTTTATTTATATTTTAAGAACAAATTGGTAATCGGCAATTGTTACTATTCTTCTCAATTACTGGATTCATCCTTGCTGGAGTCATTGAACAATCTGCATCAGTTACGCTCCGAGCAAATAGCACATCTCCGTATTCCTCGGCTGAATTTGCTGAATATGTGGAGAATACCAGTTATATAACAAGGTATTGCCAGCCGCCGGTACCAGATGAGAAAAAGAATACTGTTCATGTGGTGAGGTCCATTCCACATATAGAGGTATACCTATAATAAGATAAATTTGATAAGATTACTTCCATAAATGGTATGTATTTGTAATTCAGATACCTATGACAAAAACAGACCGAACAGAATCCGTCCTAAGAGAAGCTTACATGTGGGGAACCTTAATCTCACCCTTAGCAGCAAGCCGAATTGCTGCAAGAGTTGGAGCAGAAAGACTTTTTGGAGCTGGTGTTCTGGGAGCTGGTGTTAGCGCCTTATTGGTACCAGCTGCCTGGTTAACACCTTATCATGTTGCGATTAGGATTCTTCAAGGGGTTTTCATGGTATGCATATCTATGAAGCCCATTAAAAAATATTTTAGTTAAAATACTTTTAGGGAGCAATGTGGCCAGCAGCACATATGATAGCTGTCACTTGGTTCAAACCAAAACATCTAAGTGGATTTGTTTCAACTTACACCGGTATTTTTAAATTTTATCATTCCTATCAAATATTTACCCATAACTTCATTCGTTGTAGCTGTTAATTTAGGTTATGCAGTTGTGGGTCTCTTGGGAACTCCTCTAGTGCGTCATTTAGGCAGAGATTGGTTAAGTTACATCATAACCTTGATTGCAATCATCTGGTACTTCTTATGGTGGAAATTTGTTGAGGAAACCTTAAACCCAAATAGACCTATAAGAGATGTAAGTTCAATATTATATCTAGATAGAAATCTGTTGACTCTGCTAAATTTAGGAACATCGTTTATTGCCATGGAGGCAGTTATTGCTATCAAAACCCGCATGGGCTTGTGGTATCGCTGTTATGGGTAGTCAATGGGCTGACGCAACTCTTATGCTTGGAGTAACCAAATACTTGAAACTAGTCTACGGGTTTTCGATTGCTTACGTAAGCTGAATATGTGTATTGTTCTCTTTCAATATTTACTCACGTATATTTATATTCCAGGAAGATGTTTTGAATTCTCTGCCACATATCGGTCATTTTATTGCAGCTTTAACATTCGGAATCGTTGTTGATCACGTTCGGGAATCTGGTATAGTTTCAACAACGACGGCAAGAAAGTTATTTGTTTACATATGTAAGTTCTTTTTTAATTCCAAACAAATTTTTCTTAGTTTTTTTTTTATTTAAATGAATATTTTTAGCGCACTTCTTACCGGCTGCGCTAATGTTTGTTTTGGGTTACACGGGGTGTGATCCTGCGGCACCTGCCGCCCTTTACACGGCCTCTTTGGCGCTAACTGGAGCAACGCCGGCTGGCGCTTTTGCGAGTGCTGCAGACATTGCGCCGAATTTTGCAGGTTGAAGGGTTGTTTACTAATTAATCACAAACGCGTCAGACAACTGACGTAAACATGTTGTAACATGCTGACGCCCTCAGATTGCTACAACTGTATCATAAATCCATCAATAATAACATCCATTTATCTATAATATTTCATTATATAACAAGAAAGTTACGTACATAATTCTTTTTACTTTTAGGAACTGTTTTTGGATTGTGTCAAACTGTAGGCGCTGCAGGATTATTAGGAGCAAACTATGTAGTTTCAGAAGGACTTCATGGATCAGTAATATTTTTAACTGAATACATTAAAAAAACTTTTAAAATATTATTTTTTAGTTTGCGGGTTGGTGGCGTCTTGTTTTCGGAGCATGTTCAGCTGTTTTATTGATTACTGCCACCGTATTCATGGGTATGGGCAGCGGAAGCATCCAAGATTGGAACGCTGAATGTGACTTTGAAGTAGAAAAAGAAATCGTCGAGGAAGCATCTAGATTAGAATCAGTTTTAGAATAAGAATCCTACAATACCAAATTATTGATAAAACATTTCTCAAAATGTTTTAAACGAAAGTATTTTTATAGACCTGTTCATATTTATTGTGTAATAAATTTGATATCATTTAAATATATATATACCAACATTCAAAACAGATTGTGTAATATGAGATGTAAATATGAAAACGATGCAATCATTGCAATAATTTCATTGCTTACGCAGAATTTTAGAGCTCAAATACTCGTACATCAAATATTTAATTATTACGATTATCTCGTTGGGCCATCTGGTAAGTGAGGTTTAAACGCGTTCGCACATGAGTAATACGTGTAATGGTTATAATTTTCTCATTTCACACCGAGTTGCACGTTTCCTTTTTCTTGCTGATTTCAAGTGAATGAAACTATTTGGCTAGAAGAAGATGTAAAACGTCAGAGAAAACGTATTGTTCATAAATTGTTGCGTAATTTGTTTTTTTGCAAAATTACAACAAGTTCAAAGATATTTTAAAATAAACTTAAAAGTATATTTAAAACTATCTAAGTTAGTTTCCAAAAAGTGGTATATCTTTTATATCAAATTAAACTTATTTTGTCTTTGTGAATTTTTAATTAATAAAAAGTAATTTATGAACTTACTGTATGTTATATTATTTTTTGCAACATAATAACCATGTTGCATTCTTTCCACAATCATTATGTTCGTTATTTTTTCTCGCCGTTGAATCATCTCGAATTTAATGAATATTCATTATGAAGCTTTTTCACAAATAACGCAAAGTTGCACGCATAAATCCGCGCTCGCGTTGGTTATGACTGCTGGCAAATCAGCTAAACGATTGTCTCGACTTTGCACATTGTTTTCCTACCTTACTACCGCAGTGAGCATAAACAAGAAACAAAGAAGCTGACATGCGATGAAAGCAAAACTAAAAAAGACAAAGCCAGCTTGCACAAGTAAACGCAGATTCAAAGATGCACGCAAAGCAAAGACAGAAGATAGTTGAAGACGAGGTGTAGACAATCGACATGGGAAAGATTCTCATGGTTAGCGATTTTATAAGTTTTAATAAATGAATAAACGGAATTTATTCGCACACCGCGCTCACGCCGCCTGCATAATATAAATTATTTCACTACGCAATCGACTTATTCTACTGAATTCTTCTAGGTCTATCTACTACTCCACTGCGATAGAAAATAAAAGATGTTACAAGCGGCAAAAGTAATAAGAAGTGATGTAATCCATGAAGAATTACGCATCACGTAATTATTTTAATAATTCCTGAATGCATTTAAATCTATAATCATTTTCTTCAATTATAAACAATTATAGCACTTTTAGTAGGTTGTATATAATTGTTTCAAATCCGTTCAAATCCTTTCGATTTATTGTAATTAATTTTATACAAAGAATATAAAATAATTGTAAAAAATAATCAATAAAAACAGATACGCAAACAAGACAATAAAATAATCTTTGGAAATGCTTGGAAAATGTTTCGTGTGTTTAAAAATTAATAAATAATATTTACATTAATTCACAAAAATAAAAATTATCGCCTCTTCATTCTTTGGCATATAGACAATCAACATTTAAGTTTTACTATGTGATGTAACTGTCAAATTCAAATTAAGATCACTTAATTAATTTGTTTTTCATCACTTACTTTCGGTATTTTAATAGTAGTATATCATTAATTAGTCATAATAATCAAACTCAACCTGTTTATACCTCTTCGTCCTGCTGGGCCTTTTATCATCTTCCGCTTCACCTAAAATCTCAACATTTCTTACAGCATTTCTCACAACATTCTTCTGTGGCAGCGGCGTGGTTGCCGATTCTATATTATCCATCGCATCTAATGGTAGTGATGGATTAATGGCCAACTGAAGCATTCTCAGCAATAACATCTCCCTTACGGGGGCAGGGAGATATTCATCATCAGATTGCTCTTGATGAAGATGCTGATTATGGTTCAGGTGAACTGGAGCAGGTCTTACCATTCGTTTAGTTGGATGGTAATTGGGTTGATTTCCAGATCGTGCTGGAGCAGGGGTGAATGTTACTGGAGCATATTGGTTGTATGGATGTTCATCCAGTGGTTGAGGAGCAGGACGGACTATAACAGGGTGTTGTTGTTGAGGTTGAGCTGTTTGTGTTTGGGTGCGGGGAACAAACTGCACTTGATTGGGATGCGGATGATGAGGTTGAAGATGTTGTTGTGGTTGCTGGTAGACCTCTTGATATTGTGGCCTTTGTCTGAAGAAATGCGGGTTTGTCAATGCGCTGATCTTTTCTAATCGGCTTTGTCTTAAAATAAGTTGTTCTAGAAGCTTTTGGAAGTCCCTTGTGGACACAGGCGGTTTTATAGAGTCAACTTCGTTAATAATGTCATTTTGACTTATGTAAGGTTGTTGTTGCTGCTGTTCCTGTTGTTGTTGTCTTAAGTCTTGAACGTGTACCGGAGCAATAGTGACTGGTCTTTGGACTGTGTATGGATTTGGTGTTGAGTATTCTCGTATAAACCCATTTTCATCAACATGAACTGGAATTGGTCTGAATTTAGGAACGCGTCTGTATTGGTACACAGGTTCCTGTTCACTGGGATCACCCTGTAGTGGTTGAATTTGTTGATATTGTATTTGATCTTCAGCAACAGGCCTTCGTGGAATATGATTTACAGGTACTAAAATTGCTCCGCGATGGTATGGATGGCGCAGTTCTACGTATTGCTGACGAATTGGTTCCTCTGCATTAGCTGAACCAGCATTTGCTGGTATTTGAACAACCGGCACTGGACTTACAGTTACAGATGGTTCAGTTGATGATTCTTGTGGGTACTCAGTAGTTGGTGCTGGTGTTTGAGGCGCTCGAGTAACTGGAGCTCTTTGATACGTCGGATACCTAATTGTAGGGGTACCTCTAGGAAGTAATGGATTTACAGTTGTTGTAACTAATCTTGGTCTTAACGTAGTAAACAAAGGTCTTGGAGAGCCTGTGGTTACAGAAGCACTATAGACGTCCACGGTGTCATCACCAGCACCTTGTTGAACATTGAGCACGTGCTGCCTAGCATCAAAAACCTTTTCATCACGATTAACAGCTGGTAATTGCCTTCTAAGCACGTTACTTCTTTCCACTTCAGGTTCTTCGGTAACTGGTTTAGTATCTTCATCAAGGAGAGTAGTTTTTATAGGTAGTCTTCTATACAGAGGCATATCAGTTGGTTTCAGCAACACCTCAGGCCGTAGAAGTTGACCCTCTGAAGTGGTAACCTTTTGGGTGCTTTGTGTTCCTCTGACTAAAGGTTTACTCTGAGCTAACAATCTAGCTGGTGTAGAACTTTCATACAAAACTGTTGTAGGGGTTGACGTAACGCCAGAACTCAACTTGGAAGCACTCAATGCATCCTTAATAAACTGACTGTATTTCTCAGTCGTAGTAGGTGCACTGGTAGTAGTAGTCGACATGGTAATCCTTCGCCTTGGAATAGATTGTACCGCTCCACTGGTACTTGTAGGAGAACCAGTTGTACTGACATACGAAGGTCTTCTAGTGGTAGGTGTTGATCGAGTAACGTTTGCCTTGGAAGGAATTCTCTGAACAACAGAGATTGGTTCACTGGTCGAAGTAATACCTTCAGTTGCATTACTACTGCTATATGACACCCGTTTAATGTCGCCATTGTCATCAATATATCCATAGGTGCCTTTAATATTACCGAGTACATCGCGACTTTCTATCTTAAAAGAACCGTCATCGGCTTCATAACCAATTGTGTACGAACCATCGTCGTTGACTTTCTTGATCTGTTTAATAATTTCTAACTTGCCGTTTGCTTCCGCTGCGTCCAAATCGGCGTCTCGTTTGGTCAAATTGCTCGTGGACGCGGACGAAGACGAGTTAGATGCGCTCTGTGACGATACAGCGCCATTCGCGAAGAGCAGGAAGAAAAGCAGTACGATCTGCAATTAGAAATCAGTAAATTACGAAACAAACATTGAAATGAAAAAAAAAGTGTCAGTAAAGTGCATGGCTATTCGAACAAAAACAATGCCAACCATTCAACTCAAGTTGAGTTGAGACATCAGAAGATGTCATAACAAACTGGTATGACAACTATTTATTAGTGTTAATTAAGTTTAGAACACCGTACAATAAATAAATTGTCACAGCAAGTCAAGGAAAGTATATTTCAAACTTTCAAACTGAAAACAACAAAAGCAAATGTTTGGATGATGCAGTTTTATACATTTTAAATTACTTTGTTATAAAATGTTCATTTGTTGCAATGCGGATGTACGGATGTTGCTCTCTATATAATTGCAAACACTGGACAAGATGTCCATTTCTACGTAAACAATTCGCAAGATCAAGATAAACGTTTCATACTTGAATTAAACTCAAGCGCAAAGTTTGCTCAGCGCGCAGTTAAATTGCTAAAGACTTCAAGAATAACAACACAAAGTGTGGAAAAGTGAAGAAATCAAAATGAACAGAAATGCAGACAGAAATGACCACAAAATAAAATGAATTCTTTTACTATTAAACTATACCATGACCTGAAGTAAAAAACAAACTGAAACAAACTATAAACTTCTATAAGTAATTCAGTTCATGCTGAACGTGAGTGAAATTGAAAATTTATTATTTTCCATTAGATTAAACTCAGTCAGAGTCAACCAACAATACAAATTTTATAAAGTTATAAACTCAGTGGGCGTATATAAACTTGTTCTCCGATTTCATCAATTCAATTAATTTTTAATCCAGTTGGTGATTTATTAAAAACCCCGTCGATTAGAAAGTCTTATCTTAAAACATATCACCTTCTATACAGTACGAAAGGAAGCCGAAGGTATCATTAAAGTACTTCGGCGCGATATTAGAATGCCGTAGAAATTAATAATGTTGCAGGCAAACTTAGCTGGAAGTCAATTTTAGCACACAAGCCCGAGTTTCCTACAGTCTAGAACAGTGTTCTTGTGTAATTATTGTGTTATTTGAATGTTTAATCCGCCCACACGTCGAGGCGTAATAGGCTTTATATCAAGCATTAGTTCGTGAAACAAAGTCGTGATAAAGAACAAAATAACCAACAGTGCAACTGAGAATATTAATACTTGCACTAAAATAAAGTTAAACAGTAATTTAAAAAAAATAGAAACTTTTTTAGACCGGAAGACTTTTAAAGCGTGCGAATCAATTTAACCGAGATAAACACAAATTAAATCGATTAGAAATCGATATAGCACTTAACATAAATTAAAAATTAATACAAAATGTTAATGCTATAAATTAAACTCATCCAAACAAGTTTAATCAGTTTTAATGGCTCCAAAAGTAGTCTAAATGCAAACGGAAACAGAAAACTTAGATTTCCTGAGATTTCGTCAATTAATTCACGATTAACTGTACTAACTGCGTCAGACAAGCATGGAACACGTTCGCACATCTTTAAACTGGTTCGTGATTTTATTTAAGAAAGTGAAAATCTAATGTGGATGAGCAAATGAGTATTCGCATCCTATAATCGCGAGCATTACCGTCTAACCAACCACTTTAGAGCAGACTTTCATGCTCGTGACGACTATTTAGGTTAAAGACGTATGAAAATCTTTCGTTTATTCGTGCTCTTGATACGTCCTCATTGAAACTCGCGCATCTTTCCTTCAGTTTGAACTACTGTGTACTGACTTTTTACCTACTTACTTTCAGTTAATCAGTACGTCACTCAGTTAGCAAGTCAGCAACCATTTCATGAAGTAAATGCTCATAACATAAAACTGTCGTCGTTTAGGCTTAATTTTTAATGCACGCACTGCACACGCATGACATGCAAGAAGAGAAGACAACAATGCTTATATCAAGGCCATTTAGAATCTGACAAGAATCGGAAAGATAAGAGAAGTGAAAATAACAACTACATGTGTAAACATATTTTTAAATGGTGTTAAAAGCGATTAAATTTTTGATAAAATTAATTTAAAAATTATTTAAAAAAATTGTTTGATAAATTTAATCATACCTGATGATAACCTGCCATGGTAAATGGCAATGTTCACAATTCACATTTGTTTGATCTTCTTCCAGTTGGAACTTGATTGTGTTTTTCTTTGAGTTTTCTTACGAGCGTGCGTTCTTCGCACGTCGCACACGAATCGCGCACTGTCGCCGCACGCCGACACTCACCTGCCTATATAATTTTGCTTCTTGCAACGTCTTGAGACTTCTTGGCTTGACTCTCCTTTTCTTCTCCTCTTAACTCTGTGAAAGACAGATTCACGCATAGTAGGTGGTGCTACTCCTCCACTACAATCGAGAGCAGCCTAAACAACACAACAAGAGTAAGAGTGAGAGAGTTACCTGTAGCCAGTTGCATAGAAATGAGCAAATATGAAGCAAATGAAGCAAAATGGAATTTTATTTTCATTAATAGCCGCAGTATTTCACAGACCATTATGTGATTCTGAAGCGAGTCATGAGTATGAGGCTGGGTATGCAAAACAAAGAATGAAATGAAACGTGAAACCGAATGCAAATGAAACAGAAAGAAAACGTAAATAACGATAACGAAAGGAAAAGTTTATGAGAGCGTAATTTTAATGCTAATGCAATGGTAATAAATTATTTGGGGATGACCTTCGAGTTATTTCTACTAGCAAGTTGCATGGGATTCTTGCTCAGCATGATTTTTTAATCTTAAAATAAACACACGTTTTGGAAATGTAATAAACTACTTTAGTTTTTATTTTCGTTTCAAAGTTATTCAGATTTACATTATTGCAATATTACTACTAAACTAGTAGTAGTAGTGGTAAATTGTAATAACATAGTTTTAATGAGTTTCACGCGCGATTCTTAGGTCGAAAATTAGCAAGCGTGATTAATGAGGTTAATAATCTTATTGTTTTCCATGCACTTAATGGCGCCGTCATTGCGTCATTTACGCAACACACGATATTTATTTAATTACTGCTACTAATTGATAGTCTCACATTCGGAATAAAATAATTCGCAATTTAGCGTGAGCTTATGCATGTTGCGACATATAAGTTAGAGGCGTTTGAAGTTACGCCTCCTGGTGACTAGCTTTGAAATCAAGGTTAACCTAATAATTTAAAACATTATTAAGTGAAGTTATTTAATTTATTTTTTTAAATATTATTTTTGTTAATTTTATTACCTTCGAGATACGAATGAAGTTTGTCATTGATAAAATTAAGCGTTTTGTTGTCTTTTCAATTCTGTTTCATGATGTGACCTTACATAATGAATAATTAATCCTCACACCTCGGTTCCTCATCATAATTATGTCTGTCACATTTTTAGGATCTATCACTGCATCTTTCTTTATAATTTCACTCACGCTCATAATTCACCGAAACTTTTTTTTTGTTTTTTCTATTTGTAAAATTGTGATATACATAATTCTAGTTTGGAATACAATACGAGACAACAGTACCGCAGTTTTAGTTCCGATTGTAATTATACAACCATCAAAATATCACTTTACAAACGTTTGTTGACTTCAATTTGTTTGTGTCTATTGTATCTTTTCTTAAAGTTAGTAGTTCTCTCAAAGTCATCTGGTTATGCGCAAGCGAAATTATTAAATAACCAAAATCCGTGTTACAAAACAAGAAGAATAACTGCGTAACTGGGTAACTGAGAAGAAATGTAATTGTTACTTCCAGGAACTAAAGTATAAACAGTAAATTTTGATTATTTCAGCATAAAACGAATCAAGAATGAAAGCATTACTTTTCTTAACTTAAGCCTGGCGTAATATAGTTTATGATTTGTAGGATAGAAATGAAATGAAAACAAAATTAAGTTTTACACTTTTATTTATTCGTGCATTGTGGTTCACATAATCTATTATGTGGATTATTAAACATGTCAACTACAATTCCGCATTACATTAGTTCACGTCAAGTTCTGCACAGTTGGAAATATAGAAACGTAGCGAAGAAAATATTGCAATGAGAAAATGTATGAAATAAATAAATTTTACTCGAATGCAAGAAGCAGAAATAAAGATACAAGTATAAAACTTTAAATACTAATAAACTTTTGCAGTTTTACAGATTTATTCTGCAAACTACGCAAGTATAATGAACAAATAATGAACAAGAAGTAAATCATAATTACATGCACGACACACATGCTCTATATGTAATTCTTATAAAATTATATCTGCATGTCATCATGTTCTAACTTTGTGCTGAAGAAGGAAATATTGTTTTGATTCTAGTGTATAATATCTGTGTAAACAACGAAATTTTTTTTTAAAAAATCGTTTAACTAAGTAAATTTATTAAATATATGTGATTCAATGTAACCTACTTAAGACATATTTTAAAAATTGTTATTGTTGTTATTTTTTTAAATATGATCTTGAAAATATCGAAAACCCACTCACCAACACCTCCACTTTGATCATGATGCATAACACCAATTAATCTTCACAACAACACTCATCGAATAAAATGATACCTTTATACGTAACAATATTGGAAATAAACGAACTACAGTTTCATAACACCTCTGCAATTCCAACACGTATTTCTTAAGAAAGAAGACAACTGGTAATAACAAGCAATAATAAGTCATCATATCTCAAGTCTCAAGTTTTCACTCATACACTACACTCTCGATGACATCACACAATCTAAGCTATAATCTCAATCGGAATTCAATTTATGAACGTGTATCTTATAACATTGTGAAAAATGATCTCATTTTGTGTTTATTAATAAAATAACTATTTTATCTTAAACACAGAACACTTTTTTGACGTTTTTCACTGTATATGTTGTTTAATAAGTGTGAAAATTAGTATGGAGCATATTTTGAGCATATTGTTGTCTTGAATTAGTTCCGCTCATCGCGTAAGAAAGGTGACGCTGGGTTTTCTTTGTTTTCCACTACCTGCTCTGCACGTTTTCATTTTCCAAGGTATTCAGACGTGACGTCATTGTAAATTATTGTATTAAATTCTGCGTTGCCGTGTGTTATTCTATGTTATTGTGTTATCCAGGTGAACTCTATATTTTCCGCGTGCATTTATATAATCTCGCACATAAAATAAAAACGTTATAATATGAAAAAAGTAAAAAGGACATTTTTTTATTTTATTTCTTCATATAAATAAAATCATTGTATTTATTATAATTTCAGATGAAATAAAATTAAATAACTAAACCTAGACTATAAAGCATTATTTGCATTGAATATTAAAACTTAATCCTTCTTTTCAATAATATTACTTATAGAAATTTAGGTTTAATTCAATCATATAATTTTCTCATATTTTTATCAATCTGGGAACAATACCATGTCATTATTCAAGAATAATAGCCAGCTTTGAACTAATAGGATTTCCAATTGTTCGTGTTGTTACTTTGTTTTGTTCTCGTATTAAAGATTAAAAAATTACTTGTTAATTACACGCGGAAGTGGACAACAAACGCATTTTTCAATTCGAGAAGTACATTGTACGTAGAAAATGCAATCGTGCGTAATTTCTTTCTGATTGAAACGTATAGAATTGGATTGAGATATGTATGTGTGCTTTATGCTACAATGGACAAATAATGCGGCAATGAAGCACAAAACTGGTTTCTTAATTGAACGAAAATGACATTAATGTAATATCCATGAAGCTAACAATTTGCTAACATATGTTCAACGTGATATGCTCTCACTGTGATGTACATTAAGAGTGGACAAGGAAAAATTAGAAACGCAAGAGTTTTAATTCGCAATATGACAATGTTCAGGTAGAAGCTTTTTCAAAATTTCATTTCTGGTTATAGTTATTATTTACAGTGGATAAAATTTGGCTAAATTATATGCATGCTCCAACAACTGAAATTTAAATTTTTGTGTAATAAATATATTTTTACAAGAATTGCTTGAATATGACACAAAATTTTCTGGTTAGAAAGTAAAAATAAAAGTTAATATTGTACACATATTGTACTCCCCGCTGTTGCATTGACCCACGCCTGAGTTAATACTCATTTCGTTTGTTGGTTTCGTTAGCAGCGTACTGTAATTGTGAGTTTTTGTGCGTTGGGCGTTTTATTTATTTTGTTCACAGCGCATTTTCGGCTATTGTTCTCCGCTTGTCGCGCTGCCACCACCGCGGCTGATTAGACGCAACCGCGGTTGCCGCACGCTTTTTACGACCATATTGCTTTATAAAATCTCCACATCTGCATGTTATTACGCGCATTATTCGCTAATATCTATTAATGTAAGCTAAGAGAATAGCGGCCGCGGGGTTATTGTTTACGAACGCTGTGCTCGTTAGGCTGTTAGCCGGTTAGTAAATGATACATTTTCGTTTTGTATGTACGCGTGATTGCGAATGCGAAAGCTGCGAGTACTATTTTATTCCATTATAAATGCAATGCTCGAAAATAATGAAGCAAACGTTATTAAAATATATACTTTACTCGTACATGCAAATAACTAATAATATTATTCTTTGATGTGAGAACGAATTCGTGAAAACAAATGTTTTTAAAATTTTGATCTTGTTTCCTACTTATCCTGTACTTTATATTATTCTACAGATGATTTGTAAACGTTGTCTTTTTCTACTTAACTGTAATTCGTAAATACCCAAAGATTTAAAAAATTCTAAAATATTGAATGCAATTTTGAAGAAAAAAATGTTTATGAATGGTGTGAAAATGTGTTCTCAGTTATATTCAAATGCACGTATTTTATGTACTGCATTGCGTTATAATGTCACTCCATTTACACTTTGTTTTGGCTTGTCAGGTTGTTGAATGAGTATCACACCTGTTCATCTCTCGTGCTTACGTGCAATGCACTCACATACTGATTTCGTGCAACGCGTAAGATTAAATTTTGTATGTTCGTTGTGTCCCGTGTCAAATTCAAACGTTTTTCTAACGTATTCTATTCTTTTAAATTTTACCAGGCGCACAAAAGTAAAGATACTAAATGCGAAATGATGCAAACCGCAGAACAAACTGAACACACAGAAACAAAGTGCAATGAAATACGAAATATTAGTGTTGTTGCATTAGTGCCATGAGAAAATGTATAAACAAGAACAAATAGCCGCGAGGTATTAGAGATACTTAGCAAAATTACTCAAGTAATGACAAATTAACATGTATAATTTTGATGTATTTACATTTTACTAATTTTTGTAAGA